ATCTCGAGTCACGAATCATTTGTTAGGACTCTTAGCAATTACTGTTTTGCACAATAAGGTAAAGAATTGCTAATTTAGAAAATTGACCATATAGAAGATAAGGGTTGGCTGTTGTATATTAATTTTTTGAAGTTAATACGCCCAAATTTACCTATTGATCATAGTCATTACTAGTATTCATGGTGCTTCTGTTTCTGCATGTCAGTCCTCCTTAGTATCTCCCTTCTTTTAGAACAGCCAAGGAGGCCACCTGAAAGATCTGATGTGTATAACAAAATGGCATCCCATGCATCTCCCGATCTTCAACCTGGAATCTGTGTATTAGGCTTCAAAACATAAGCTCTGGAGACTTTGGTCTGGTTTGATATAAGCCACTGGATATGCTAATGAAATAAGCAGCTCTCATTTTGTAACAGTCTCCCACATACTTAAAAATAAGTGAGCCATGACACAGATCTGGGTGTATTTGTTTTGTTTTGTTTTGTTTTAAGGTTCTGTTTATTCATTTGAGAGAGAGGGAGAGCGAGAGAGCACGAGCAGGGGACGGGGAGCGGGAGAGGCAGGGTCCCCGCTGAGCAGGGAGCCCAACGTGGGGCTCAATCCTAGGACCCTGGGATCACAACCTGAGTCGAAGGCAGACGCTTAACCAACTGAAGCCACCTAGGCGCCTCTCAATTCAGAAATCTAACTGAAATCCTCTAACCCTTGCTCAGCTTAATGGTAACATAAATATCTTAAAGAAATCTTCACATAGTTGTTTTCCTGGAACACATGGTACAATTCATGTAGTGAATCAGATATCAAGAACTTACAGGGATGGGACGCCTGGGTGGCTCATTTGGTTAAGCGACTGCCTTCGGCTCAGGTCATGATCCTGGAGTTCTGGGATCGAGTCCCACATCAGGCTCCCTGCTCAGCGGGGAGTCTGCTTCTCCCTCTGACCCTCCCCCCTCTCATGTGCTGTCGCTCTCTCTCTCTCATTCTCTCTCTCAAATAAATAAAATCTTAAAAAAAAAAAAAAGAACTTACAGGGATAAAGTGTTCCTCATCATGTCATCCAGGGACATGAAATACCAGATATACTGTAAAAGAAATACAGCTATTTCAGTATCAGAAGTATTTCACTTTTGGGTGGCATTTTTATTAACAACAGGCATCTCTCAAAACAGTGCTCTGTCCCATAAACGGCTAAATGGGTTTTTGTGAGATTTCGTATACTCTCCTTCCCGATTAGATTGCAAAAGCTCCTATGAAATAAGACCCTATTTTATCCACAGTTATATCCCTAGTTCTTAACTATATACCTTGCGCATAGTAGGTACTCAATAAAAGTTTCAGCTGCTAAATAGACCAAAGGGAATTTTAACAGAGAAAAGAAGCTATTAGAATTTTATTTTGCCTCGCATGGAATACCGGGGCACTCCCATTTCCCTAAAACAAGGAGCCAACAACTATGTTAAAAACATCTCATTTCGGAACGCCTGGGTGGCTCAGTCGGTTAAGCGTCTGCCTTTAACTCAGGTCATGATCCCACGGTCCTGGGATCAAGTCCCATGTCGGGCTCCTTTCTTGGCAGGGAGCCTGCTTCTCCCTCTGCCTCTGACGCTCTCCCTGCTTGTGCTCTCTCTCTCTGACAAATAAATAAAATCTTTTCTAAAAAATTTCTCATTTCAATTGGTTATAATTCCTTTTTTATTGTTTTAAGATTTATTTATTTACTTTAGAAAGAGAAAGAGTATGATTGGGAGGGGCGTAGGGAGAGAGAATCCCAAGCAGACTCCCTGCTGAGTGGCGATTCCCGACTCGGGGTTCAATCCCAGGACCGAGACCACAACCTGAGCCAAAACCAGGTCAGACGCCTAACCTACTGCATCACCCAGGTGCCCCTGGTGATAATTCTTTAAAAAAAGAAATTTGTTTCCCTAAGATATGGGATACCTGCCAATATCAAATTGTTTTAACTCCCTACCATTTTGCTTTTCGAGGGAGAAAAATATCTTAATGACAGCACAAAATCATGTATAATTTATACGAATCATGTATAATTCGTTTTTAAAGGATTCAGCTACATCCTGTTCCATTTGTTTCATTTTGAATAATATATTTGCAAACATGTCATTGCTCACTTGATATTTACCTCATCAACTTTTACCTCATCATTATATGTTTTTAGCAGGCTTTATTGTTTCATGAGATTGCCGCTGCCTTTTTTTTTTTTTTTCCGACTGAGCATAGTCTAGAAAAATGATAATGTCGGGCAGCTGGGTGGTCCAGTCGTTGAGTGTCCGCCTTCAGTCCATGTCATGGTCTCAGGGTCCTGGGATGGAGCCCTGCATCGGGCTCCCGGCTCAGTGGGGAGTCTGCTTCTTTCTCTCCCTTTCTCCCCTCTGCTCGTGAGCGCTCTCTCTCTCTCTCTGTCATGCCCTCTCTCTCAATTAAATAAAAATAAAATCTTGTTTAAAAAGAAAAATGGCGATGTCTTGGCAGCACTTACACAGATAGGGACACATGGCCTTTGAGCGAATATGGAGCTGCAGTGCTCCCAGGGATTGCTGCCTAAATGCTTTCCTTCACATCTCCCTGCTTCTGCAGCCTGTAGTGAACTTACAGAATGTGTCCAACCTGGTTGCCTTCTTTCTCTGGAAGAAATGATGCTAATGGAGGAAAATGGTCCATTTGCACTACTCATTGTGCCAAATAAACTCTTTCTTGAAAATTGTTAAATTTCAGTCTATAAGCTGGTCTTTATAATGCCTCTAGATAAAACTATCTCCTCAAAATGAAGTCCCACAAAGTGCTAGCACTGCAGAATTTACTATGTTCTCTTGCCCTACAAGATTATGGGGAGTAAAAATTATAAAACATGTCACTGGAGAAAATATTTGATACCATAAGGCCTTTTGGATCCGTGAAGAGTGAGATCTTGCTTCTCTCTGAGTTCTCTGTCCTTAGATACCAAGGTGAGACATCCTCAGGCCTGGCAGAAGGACACTCGAACCTCTCAGGCGGGTTTGCCCTTTATTCCTCCCCTCTACCTGAAAGTTGTGGTCTCCTGGCCCTCATTTCCACCTGTTCCCAGAGGGCCCAGTTGTAGAATTAAAAGCATCATCACTGGTTAGAAAGTCCTTTTGCTTCATTGCATCCATTTACTTTACCTTTGGAGATGGTTGGTGGATGCAGGAATTTTCAAAAGTTGGTACCTTTTTTTGAAAAGACAGTAATTCATCTTCAGTCTAGGGTTTGGCCCCAGTCTATCTTCCTTCCTGCCCATTTGCCTTAAATGGAAGTTCCCTGTTCAGGAAGACCTGAGGGCTGGAGGTGGTGGGAGTCAGAAGGTAAACAGGTTGGGCCAAGGGTCCATGGTATTCTCACCAGACACCTGACATTTTTGCTCTCCTTCTGGTTCCCGTAGTGCAAGCTGCCTTTCAGAAGTGAGCTCACATTCCAGCCTGTCCCTCTGGCCTGGTTCGCACCAGGGAGAGGAGGAAGGCATTCACAAGCAACAGCCTAGATGGCTCGCCGAGAAGGAATTACAGTTGGGTTTTTTGTTGTGTTTTGTTTTTTGGCAGAGAAGTGTTGAGAGGCACTGTTGCTTCTACCCTGTCATTAGTGGGTGGGTAATAGTGATATAAAATAAGAGATGAATTAGGATAATCAGAGGCAAAGGAGAAAGGAGTAAATTTTCCACAAGTAATATTTTTCTCTTCCTGGTTATTTAACTTTGAAACAGAACTTGAAAGTAGTAATCACAGTTATACAGTAGACAAAGGACAGAATGTGAGAACCAGACAGGAAGGTGTGATTGCCTTTATTACATTAACTGGAAACACACAGAAATATGCACCACCTTCAGGAATATACTGCTATTTCCATTATGGAAAAGCAAAGAAAATGAAAAGTCATGGGTGGACTACTGTGCCGTCACCTCCTCCCCCTCTCCCCTCACCCCCCACCTTTTTTTCTTTTTAACTAATAAGTATCTTAGTTAAAGATCTTTTGCTTTTCTGTGTAAGTTCCTTGAGTTGTTCTTCCGATCATTTTATGATGTGGATATATAGTAAAGCAACCCCAAGACGGATGATCAAAGGCACAGAAAAAACTTTAAATAGCGTGGGCAAGTGTTTTGTCTTTCTTATAACAGCTGTCTTCAAGGCTGTACCCCACAGATAAACAAATGGGGCCTATTTGTATTCATTCACTGATTCAACCAAGATGCAATGAGCACCTACAACATGCCGGGCACGTTGGCCCTGGGGATACAGTGACGAACAAAGCAAATGTCACTGCCCCCGTGGAGCTTACATGCCAGAGGGAAGACAGACACCAAACAAATCACCACACCTCCAAGTTGTTCTCATGGCTATGAATAAAAATACAAATAAAAATTTAAAAAAATTTTTTAAAATACAGTGTGAGCTATATAAAGGGGAATTTGTCTTCTCCTGGGGTAAGTGAAGACCTCCCTGAAGAATGATGATGGGAAGCTAAGGGAGCATTTTTAAGTTGGAGGAGGGAAGGGTGACACAATCTTATTTACGTTTGGAGATTTATCAATAGAATTAAAAAAAACAAGTGTGTCTGCACATAAAGAAGTACAAAAGTGAGGGTGGCCCCGTCGGTTAAGCGTCTGCCTTCGGCTGGGATCATGATCCCCGGGGTCCTGCTAATGCTCGTGCTCTTTCTCTCTCTTGAAAAAATAAGTAAATAAAATCTTTAAGAAAAGGAAGTACAAAAGTGAATCAAAAGATTCCTTTGGTTCCTCAGAATAGCTCTTGAAATGTGTTCATTACACTCCTGTTTGAAAATACTAACTAATGTATCTTCTGTACTGTCTTCTTCACCAGTGGATAATCCTGTAAGGGTCTGAGTAAACTTGACTTTGAAGTGTTCTGTCCGTTCCCTTATAGCACCGCCACATCTCCTATTGAAAAAGAGATTCAATTACGTTTTGTCCTACATACACATATAATTCTGTTTATTATTTGTCCCCATTTATTCAGCTCCTACAGAACCTTTATTGTGTAAGTTTGCGGATGGAGGGCAGAAGAAGAGGCAGAACCCAAACAAATACATCCCTAATGGAAGACCGTGGCATAGAGAAGGAGAGGTGAGACTTGTAAGTCCCTTCTTGAGACTTCTGTGTGGGTGTATGATGCTGAAAGACTATGTGAGTAGTTACCCAAGCCACATCCTGGCTGCCAGGCTTCTGAAATAGGACCTTATAATCCAGATAATGTCACTTTAAAACTCTTCCCAATGGATATGGTGCTAAGAGAGCGGTGACCCTCCAGATGGACACATAGGTGGTGGGTAGAGCTATGTTTACCAGTTAGCTGCATGCAAAGTAAAAGAGCATTTTAAATTGCTGTAAGAAATGCACAACTGTTTTCGTATTTTTTTTAATGTCATGGTTTCTTAGAGGCTTACGTTTATAGTTACTCAAATTATCCTAGGTAACGTTATTAAAACAAATAGCGTATTTGCTGTTGAGTTTTTCGCCTAATTCTTTTTGAATGAGGTTCTTAAAAAAAAAAAAGAAAAAAAAAGACATCATACTGAACATACTGGTTCAAGTATGTCTAAGGAAGTGCCATCCAGTGGAAATGTTCTAGAGTCTGCACTGTCCAATGATAACCATGAGCTGCATGTGGTTATTTGAGCACTTGAGATATAGCCAGTGTGAAGGAGGGACTCCATTTTTCCTTTAATTTTAAATACCTACACGCAGCTAATGACTACCAAATGGAACAGTGCAGACAAAGAGCTTAATTCTTATATTGAGTTTATGTTTGTCTAAAGGAAACTTCTAATTTTATCAAATGCTACTGAACTCTCTATTTTGTGTTGCCATGACTCTAAGAAATGGAATTTTTAAACCGTGCCCTTGCGGGTAAGTGATTCTGTTTCTTTTGCTTTCCCATAGGCTGGAATGACACTTACTTATGACCCAACCACAGCTGCTATACAGAATGGGTATGTCATTAAGATAAATGCATGATGGCTTGAGGGAAAATGTGAAGGTGGAAAATATCAGACATTTGTCCTGGGAATTATTCTTTTTTTAAAGGATGACTTAATAAAGGCTTTTGTGTTTGTTCTAGATTTTATCCTTCACCATACAGTATTGCTACAAACCGAATGATCACTCAAACTTCTCTTACACCCTATATTGCATCTCCTGTTTCTGCCTACCAGGTTTGTACCTTTAGGATTCAAGAGTGTGACAACTTGTCGGCCGTGAATTGCTGCTATGTTTTTATGTGTCTTAGAATTTTGAACATTTATAATGAAACCTAAGTCAAATATTATGCAGCTTGGATACCCACTTTAGAAGAAGCTGCTTTTTATTTGACAGAGTGATTTGCTTTTATGTATAGGAGAATATAAAACAAGGGAAAACGGTTATCAGTTGTCAGTCCTTGAAATCGTAGCATTCTAGAACCGGGATGAACCCAAATGCTTCCTCCACAGCGGACTCTGCTGTTGGACATCACATGTCCCAGAAGTTGAAACTTAAAAAGAAGTGACATTAGGTAAAATACAGAAGAAGTGTGCACCGTTGCCGTTGTTTATTCATCACCAGGAACTAAGAAAAGAGCAAGTAAACGTGCTAATAAATAAAGACATGTCTCAGGTAACATTAAATGAGCAATGCAGTGAGATTTAAGGCCAAAAAAAGAGGAGGCGACTCCCTGTTTAAACAGGTAATTTTGAGGAGGCTTTATGTTCAAATAAATTCCCAACTTAGAACCAAGATCTCCTTAAGCACCTTGTTATAAGATGGATTTGGTTTTATTGCAGGGTTAGCTCCTATTCTCCATGAACCCAGTGGTGTACAATGTGTGCGCATACAACAAACCCAGTGGTATACAATGTGTGCGCGTACACATCTCTCCTCCTATGTCTGAGTACCTCTAACAGGGTTATTGCCTTGGCCCACACAGAAGCATAATAACAGAGTTCAATCACAAAAATGTGGGAATAGAGTTCTCTTTTGTTGACTGTTGAGATCCTGTGTGACTAAACTAAACTCTTGTGTATTCTTGTTTTTAAAACGATTGAATTAGATATTATAGCCCTGATTTCTGGGGTTAGGGGACTACAATATCTAATAACTGTTATTTTACTTCTGTAAGCCTCAGTTTCCTCATCTTTAAAATGGGGATAATAATAGTTTCTTTCTCATAGACTTGTTTTAAAAAACCCTATATGAGACTATTTATGTAAAGAGCTCTCAGCACAGTCCCCGGCTTATCATTAGCGGTCAATAAATGTTAGCTGTGATCACGATCATCAGGATATGCAGGACTAGTGGGCTGATGAGAGTATATTCATTATACTTTTTTAAAATAAGGAATTGGTCAGCGTAAGCAATATCATGAAGGTGGTGCTGTCCGAAAACTTAAAAGTAGCTTCGAATAATAAATCATAAGGTAGCTTCGTGGTTAAACGCACGAAAGCTGAAGTTGTGCAGGAGCATTCACAGCTCCCTCCGCTTTCAGGTCTTTTCCCTCTCTTCCCCTGAGTTGTCCCTTATTTTCTTTTCTTTATCTCTCTAGGCTTTTACGTTACTTGGGCTGGCGCTTCAATTTGCCGGCCACAGTATTCACTCATTTAATGCCTCTCTCATTATTTGGGGCTTAAAATTTCTTTATTTTCCCTGGTGCATTTTCCCTAATTAACAATTCCCTAATGAGAGGTAGTCTTTTTTAACTCTCTGACCTTGGAAACCTCTGCCATTTATGTAGATCACTGGAAAGAGGGACACGTAAGCTTATTCTCAGGCGGATGATTGTGCAGATTAATTTGGATGTGGGCCGCTGTGGCTCTTGGAGCTGTCAGTGCGTCTCCCCACCACCTCTGTTTCCCCTCTTTACTGTCAGGCAATGAGCATTTTGGCCACAGAATTGTTACATAGCCTAAGAAAAATTCAGAGGCCAGTATTCATAGTAGATTTGCGATACCTAACTGGAAACATTTCATTTCAAAGCCCTCATTTCTTCTTCTGGCATTCTGTATGTCCCTAAGATACATGTGTAATTTCATTCCATTTGCCTGACGCTCGCTGTGACTGAGGTTCTTAACCCCATAAATTCAGGGCCACAGTAGGGTCAGCAGATGAGCTTGAAGTAGTCTGAGAGTCTCTTACATTGTTTGCAAAATGTTGCTTGTGTGTATGCAGTTAGCTGGGGCAAGGGGGCGGGGGGGGGGGTAAGTTCTATTTCTTTTATCAGGTTTTCAAAGGGATCTGTGACCCAAAGGAGGGTAGATAACCAATGGTAAAGAATTCAAAGAACATAGATTATTATTCCCATTTTATAGTTAGGGAAAATTGAGGAATAGAAATTGACAGCAGCTGATTTGCTGCTTAAGAAAAAGAATTGGATTAGGTGTTCTAGCTCCCTAACCCCATAATGCAGTAAGTTATTAGATTATTAAGACCACTGAAAGCATACAAAAAATGAGAGCATCTGGCCCCAGCTGGGGTCTCCAGGGAGCTGCTCTCCTCCCCATGATTTATTCAGTGAAGGCCTTGTGCTCATGTTGGAGTGGGCCTTTCTCCACTAAAGCACCATATGCTTATACAATTGGATTTGAGAAATTGGCATCTGCGAGAAACCACCAGTACCCCAATGGGGAAAGGCTGCAGTCCAGATAACTGAAATGTTAACAAGGCAGAAGCACTTAACTTTGGTCTGCCTTAGGTGGCAAAGGAAACCAGAGAAAACAAGTATCGGGGCTCTGCTATCAAGGTAAATCACAATGCATTCTTCCCCCATGACTTTTCCCCATATCCTTTCTATAGAACCTCTGAAGTTAACCGTAGGGGATAAGATACAGGAGGGTTTTGTGGTTAAAGAGTTAGAGACTGAAACTTATTTTTTAAAAATTAATGTAGTCTCAGGAGAGCTCTGGGCATCAAGAAATGGACTGATATTTTTTCTCTTGAGTGGCAGGCTGCACAGGCTTGCTTTCCTGCCTTGGAACCTGACTCTCGTGTTTTATTCCTCAATGTGGAGGGTCTTCTGTGCAGGTGCCCTTTTGACTGTACATGTCAAGATCTAGTTAAGAAAGTTTTTCATTTTCTAAATCTGATTTTCAGATTTTTATTTTCCACACTAACTAGAAATTGTTGACCGCCAGACAAGATTTCTGAAACCTAATATCCTGGTATCAAAGAAGGGTTGAATTTCGTTATTCTTTCTAAATAAGCACATACTTTAAGGATTAGTTTGTAATAAGATGTGCTGGAATTCTCATTCATCTGTATTCCTCAAGTGCCTAGTTCATACCTCAATTATCACACTTTTCACTATTTGAGTTGTTTACTTGTTTATCTCCATTCTTAGTAAATATCTTGAGGGTGGGGCCCATGTCTTATTTGCCTTTTTCTCTTTGATGCCTGGTACTCAGTAAATACTTCTTGAATGGGCAAGTGGAACTTGGTTTTAAATAATCATTTCATCCTATTCAGAGTGACCAGTTTGCCAAGAACTCTAACTGCCTTAATCTTTTTAATCATTGATAGTATTGCTTCCTTATTTTCCTTCTGTAGATTTTAACATGATTAAAAGAGCTCTAGAGAAAGAGGTAGCATTCCAATGGAAATCAATGTTTCTTTCAAAATCCTCCCTTTTCCAGGTGCAAAGTCCTTCTTGGATGCAACCTCAACCGTATATCCTACAGCACCCCGTAAGTTTTTCAACTTAATGGCTTTGTGGTTTGCAACTAGGCTGCATATACATTTGGAAGACCATTCTCTGGGTTAAAACCTTTTGCCAAAGATGGTACGGGATTTGGGAAATTTAAAGATGGAATATGAGAATGTACAAGTTCATTATAAAACTTCCTCCCACCCTTGTCTTAAATTGGTAGTTGACATTAAATCAAATTTGCAATGGTAAGAACTTAAAATACATCATACTTGAAGCAGGGTACCATTTTCTTCTTCAAACCAATTCTGTAGAAGGCCACTCAATTGAAGTTTTAAATTTTAAAGCTTTTAAATTGCTATATTTTTAACAGTAGTTGGTATGAAACAGCTCATATTTTTTAATTGTATTCCGTTTAATGCAAATATAAAGTGGTCAGAAGGAAGCTAGAGATTTTTATCAGTTTACTTAACCTCTCTGTGGAAATTATAAATCCTAAAGCAGTAACACTTTCTCTTTGGTAGATGTGATTTCTTTAGTGACTTGAGCATTTGTTGTACTTATGTACATATTATACTTTTTAATTCAGTTACACTTTGCATTAATAGTGTATTTAATGTGTTTTTCAAAAATACATAAAATCCAATTTTTTAAAATTTAAAGCATGCATTTTAAAAGTTGAGAAATAAAGGTGGAGAACAAAATCACAAAAACAGTGCCCAGCACAATGACCTGCATGATTGGCACGAGAAGGCCACAAATTTGGCCCCGAGCTTTCTAGTAACTAAGGCAAAATGGGAATTCTGATAAGCAAAAACAGTTCACGGTACTTATAAGAGAAAAACAGGTCAGTTGCTTGGGAGAAGCACACCCTTGTTGGCCTCAAGATGAGAGAGGAATTTCTCTCAGGACAGCTCCTAAAGAGGGCACCATGCACTGTAAGACCATATGTATGAAACAGTACTCTAGGGACAAGTTCTGAACAGGAAGTTGCTGAGATGACTTGGAAGCAGCAGATAAAACATGTTTAGTTGATAACACAAGAGACGAGCTCTCGGATGACGTATGTGTGTGTGTCTATAAACATTCGCACATATTTGTCTCTATACGCGCAGTCTTGGACAGTAGCTCCTACAGATGAATGAAGAAAAGAAGCAGGAAATTCCTTCAGCATATTCTGGGCTTCTGAATCATTTCCATGTTACCATACACTTTTTGATGATGCACACTAAAAATTTAAAAAGAACAAATTTTCTATGAACTGCATTAACAACAAACAGTTTCTGACACGCATCTCTATCCTTTTTTTGGCAACTTTTAGAGACAAAGCCTGCTCATATCCCAGTTTAACATCTTTGAGGAGACAGTGGTAGTGTGTGCAGAAGGTTCCTATCCGAGGGCTTGGTCCCTTTCCCCACCCAGTTTAGACTGCCTGCACATCAGTTTCTGACCTCAGTTGTGTTCTGATTAGCAATAAACAACAGTGTTTGGAAGGGATAGATCAGTTGCAATAATAACAAAAACATAGCATTAATATTGATAGGATGTGTCAGAATAATTGCACTCTCAGGTAATTGGGTGATTGAAAAAATGAGAGGAAGGTTATAATCCATAAGAATATTATATAGGATAAATTAGAGAAAATGTAAAAATCCAGAAATTAAATTTCAGTTTAGGCAATCAATGTACCATTATGCAGTCATTAAAAATGATGATAATGATGGCTATGCACTAAGTGAGGTAAATATTTATAATAGAATGTTAAGTTCAAAGCAGAAACCCAGGATATGAAATTGTTTATGTACCCTAGTTGCAACTCTACAAACATGCCAAGTGGTAACAGCCATATATTAGGGAGAGGCTAGGTTGTGGGTGATTTTTTGTGTGTGTGTGCACCCCCCACCCCATTTTGTTTAATTATATTTAATTTTATTTTTAATGACCAGAATTTTTTTCAGATGAAATCAAAGAATCTGAAATCGGATTATTAATCATGTCTGAATCTCCTTCTCTCCCTTGGCACCAAACTATAGCTGAAAAGTTCTGAGAAACAGTGAATGGAGAATGTGATCTTGATCCCAACAGCCTGATCTTGAATCAAATGATTATCTGTACAGAACACTTTTAAACAGGACACCGTATTTATAAATATTCAATATGGCCTGTTGTTTTGTGGCTGCATCAAACATCAACTGTCATTTATTTTTTTTAAAATCGAAGAAAGCATTTTTGTAACCCCAGCCAGCCGAAATCAGTTCGCATTTCCGACTATAGCTCCTCCTGCTGGACTAGCTTGCTTTACACTTGAGTGAAAGGAAAGGCAGGATGTTTAATGCAGCGATTTTGGTGAAATGAATGCTCTTAAAAAAGTTTTAGGAAGCATTATCCAGAAGACTTTCAGGAAATTATTTATGATACCATAAGCAAGTTTGAGAGGAGGTTATTTTTGGTTTCACATTTCTCAACAAACTAAGGCGTTTTCCTTTGCAAAAGGAATGACAGACTCTTAACTCCCTCCTTGAGTTTCTCTTACACTGTGCTTGTCTCCTGACTCCCCAGGGGGCCGTGTTAACTCCCTCGATGGAGCACACCATGTCGCTACAGCCGGCATCTATGATCAGCCCTCTGGCCCAGCAGATGAGTCATCTGTCACTAGGCAGCACCGGAACAGTAGGTGGCAAATTAATATCCTGTGTCTCAGCCAACAGAGGAGTGAATTAATGCAGCCTATGTCTTCCCTATCAATTACAGGCTCTGTGATGTTCAACAATTATATCCGACCCGCTCTCACCCCCCCACATTGCCTTCCACATGAGTAATTGATGAACCTAAGTATCTATCCTCTGGGTGTCTCTCCTTTACCAGAATCTAGCAACCACACATGACCACATCTAGCCCTAGTAGCTAGTGCCATTCGTTCACACTGCAGACCTGGTGTCGGGAAGCAAAAGAAAAAGGTGATACATGGTGATAAAGGCAGGGAATTTTTCCTCCCTTCACTTCTTTTATGGAATGTGTGGGGGCGGGGGCATTGTATCACAGTCTTAGGATTGACTGACTTCTCCAGAGTCCAGGGGATTCCACTGGGGATTGAGGTTGAGCCTATACCAGAGGCACTTCCAAGGTTGGTATCTATCAACGTAACGTTTAGATGGTACGATGGCCGAAGGCTTTTAATTCAGACCGTATCGGTGGTGGCTGAAAAGAACAAAGGGAAGTATGTTTTCCTCTCTTACATTCAAAACCCCAGCAGCAGCCCCTTGTGATGGCTCAGTCAGGTCCTTGAGATCAACAAGGAAGCCCTGCTGCCTTTGGAAGGGGAAAACTGTCCTCATCAGGAAAGCAAGGGTCCATTTCCTGTTCTGCAGTCACCTGATGAAGATCCAACAAGTCATTTACTCTGTAGGTCTCCGCCTATGGAAATAATTCTAGATACTAGTTCAGGGGGCTGCTGGAAAATAATGAGGTCCTTTGAGATGAGATCTCCTAAAATAGCACATCCGTGATACTGAGTGTTGAGAATAAGATGCTGTAGCGCTCTTCATGCATATGTGTGTTTGTTGGGAAATCCAGAGAAAGGTGGGAGTTTTAGTTTGCCGACTCAAAAAGGAGAAACAGTCACGTCACTTTCCGTATGACATACTTATTAATTAAGCTGTGAGGTAGCTTGTGTATATTTCTCCTTTGAGATTTCCAAATACTTGACATCCCAACTCAGAACTCGCCAAGCACTCAACTTTTGCATGGCTTTTCATTTCCCATCCTGACTATGTTCTTCTTTTCAGTACATGCCTGCGACATCAGCTATGCAAGGAGCTTATTTGCCGCAGTACACACATGTGCAGACCACGACGGTTCCCGTTGAGGTTGGTGCAGCCCATCCTGTGGCCACTCTGGCAATGAGTAGCTTCAGAAACGGGTGAATTAGATAGGGCTCAAAGAAGAATCAATTAGAAGTCGAATGTTTGCATAAAGAATTGAGTTTGGAGGGCATATAGAGCTAGGGTTATTTTCGACTCTGAAATATAATTCTCTGCATACAGATTAGTGTAGCAGTATCCAGGCCACACCCCCCAAAACTCCCAGAACTATCTTCCAAGCTTGTAGCACATTTCATACCCTTCAAGAATCTATCTTGTCTCCTGCAAAGGGATACCCTACACGCAAATTAGGATAAAGCTGGAGTTTGCAGTCCTGAGTACCCAAGATTATGTTAATAATAATAACTGCAAGAAGAAATCAGTTGTAATTAAAATAGTTGAAGAAAACACTGATGTTTCAGAATTGTGAACAGGGATGAAAACATACCATACCTTTTTTTATAGAGGCTGTTCGGATAGCTAAATAACTCTTAGTTCTTGTTATGCAGGATGCAGATATGATGATAATGGAAGAAGACTGACACTTGAGTTAAGATTGGACAGAAAGCAGAGAGCTACAGATCCCGTATGATTTCACTCATATGTGGAATTTAGGAAACAAAACAGATGAACATAGGGGAAGGGAGGGAAAAAAGAGAGGGAGACAAGCCATAAGAGACTCTTAACTCTGGGAAACAACCTGAGGGTTGTTGGAGGGGAGGTGTGTGGGGGATAGGGTAATTGGGTGATGGACATTAAGGAGGGCATTCGATGTAATGAGCACTGGGTGCTCTATGCAACTGATGAATCACTAAATTCTACCCCTAAAACTAATAATACACTACATGTTAACTAAATTGAATTTAAATAAAAAAGTAAAAAAAAAATTCCAAGGAAATTCATCATCCCAATCAATCCTATCCACTAGGCAGATCCCATAGGTTCCAAGTGCAGAAACAGCCCCAGGACTGTGGTTGGATTATTTGGGGGCATTCTTGTTGTGTTTTGTTTTCTGCTGATTGCTGTAAATTTGTGTGCTTATTGACAGTCACAGTTACCAGAACCCACAATCCCTTATCTGCATTTCTGAAACACACAGTAAAATCTGAAAATAAAAATTCTCTTTATAACTGCTTTAGCAAAAACCTGACCTGTGGCAAAACGCAACCGGAACTGATATAAGACAAAATCTTAGCCCCCTTACTGTGCATATTTATATCTTTCTGTGTAGACTTGCTCATGTGTTTGGTGATGAGGTGTAGCGCTAGGCCCCACTGGGTATATTCTGTGATAAAGGGCATATGCCTACCATTTTTCAGATTCTAAAATCCAAACATACTGAATTCCAAGTCACACCTGGCTCCAAGGGATCAGATATTTGTTTGAAAATTGTAGCTTGACATGAAGAGACAACTCCTAAAAGTTGGGGTGGGAGGTTCTTTGGGTCTGTAAGATATCTTATTTCCTTAGGGAAATCATTAACCTTGAAAACCCTACATAAATATTAAGAAAATCACTTTTAAGGAGCGCTTGTATTTTAAGATGTGAAACTCAGATGGAAGGAACAGAGTTGGGATGTCATTGCTCACGTCTCATCTGCTCTGCTTTGTTGTAGGAAGCGAGTGGTCAGCAGCAGGTGGCCGTCGAGACGTCTAATGACCATTCACCATATACCTTTCAACCTAATAAGTAACTGTGAGGTATGAGGGAAACATCTTTGTAACTGTAGGGCTCAGTTCAAGGAAGTCTATGATTCTTTTATCATAATGGTACTTAGAATAGCTCAGATTTGGTCACACTGCCTTAATCGTGGCCCAAGAATCCAGTGTTAGTGAAATGTTAAAATCAGTATCTTGTGGATTTGCAGATTATCCAAAAAGAACAGTGCCTTGTTTTGAGGTCACATGTATAGTTACTTTCTCATCCTCCTTACCCCTCCCACCCTAAAAATCTGTAACAAATCAGGACACCAGGTATCAAATTTGTCCTACAATACATGTATCCAAATTTATATTGCTTTCATGCTCACAAGCTGAAGGAGATACAGCGTAAGATTCTGCTTCATCTGGTATGACAAGAGCAGCAGCATCTTGACTATGAATTTAATGTCAGTATCCTTCAATCCAGAGCTCTGGTTGCTCTGGTAAAAGTATGCTGCAGGTCCCAAAGTGGAGTCAAGGCATAGAAACTACCCTCAGTTCTAACTACTTTATTGGTCTACCACCAGTGATGAGTACCGTCTTGCCTTTGTCAAACATGCATACCACTGACACGAGAAGGAGGCTACAAAGTAGTGTGGTGTATTATACCAACTGTACAAAAGCATTTATCTTTTGTTTTTCTCTTCCAGATGTACAGAAGGGCGTTCTTACATGAAGAAGGGTGTGAAGGCTGAACAATCATGGATTTTTCTGATCAATTGTGCTTTAGGAAATTATTGACAGTTTTGCACAGGTTCTTGAAAACGTTATTTATAATGAAATCAACTAAAACTATTTTTGCTATAAGTTCTATAAGGTGCATAAAACCCTTAAATTCATCTAGTAGCTGTTCCCCCGAACAGGTTTATTTTAGTAAAAAAAAAACAAAAAAAAAACCAAAAAAAAACAACAAAAAAAAAACAAAAAAAAAAAATTTTTATAAAATTTTAATATGAAAAAAAAAAAAAAAAGGAAAAAAGAAAAAAAGTAAGAAAAAAAGAAAACTTCAATTTTCTGGGTATGCACAAAGACCATGAAGATTTATCCAAGTGCATGACCGGATTTTTGTGGTTTTTGTCCATTTTGTGTTTAATTTGCGTTTTCTTCCGCTGTATGCAATGGGCTCTGACATTGAAGTAGTCCGACTTCCCCCTGGTGTTCTGTGCTTGCGAGTGTGAGTGTCGCTGTATTCAGTGTTGCCCTCCGCGTCTCTCTTCTTAGCTTTTCCATTTTTCTTTCAGCGTAGTGTGAAATGTCTTCTCCTTTTCTATGAATTCCAATTTGCCTTAACTCCTTTGATGCTGTAGCTGTTTCAGTACAAGTTAGTTCAAACTAATGATGTAGAATGCTTTGACCAAGTGAGCTGGTCTGTTATGCCTTGTAAAACAGCAGCATAGGGCTTTTAAAAGGTAGTCAATAAAAGTTGCTGAAATTTTGGCTTTTTTAAATATGTAGTAGGTGTTTTTAATGATTTTTCACATAATGTGTAAGGTAGTGAAATGCAAGAAGGGAAAAATGTTTTGTGTGAAACACATTTTCTGACTGGGGAACTTTTACTAGGGTAACTTGTTTGTAAGGCTGTACGCCAACAGTTTCCTCTGATAGTTTGACTGATTTAGGATATCTGCTGTATGATGCAATGTAAAGTCTTTTTTGCCTTTTTTCAGGAAAAAAAAAACTAACTCGATGTTCTAGATTTAGTGTAGGTAGCGTTGGGGCTGGGGGTGGGGGGCGGGGGCGGGGAGTCACCGAATGTTTTGTCCTTCCTTTATACAATGATAGTGCTTTAGACTGAGAATTACGCCTGAGATCTGGCAAACCGAAAAAACGTTGCTATTGCAACTAAATGGCAAAAGCTAAAAGTATAAGGATTTTATCTTCAAACATAAGCTGAGGTAGGAATAGAAGCAAAATGATTGGCTACTAGCTCTCGCTATTACATAAATTTGAGAAATCAAAATTACTTGGCACTTTTAAAGGTAACTTCACCAAAGACCGAAGAGCCAGTAACCAGTAGCTCCAACTTCTCTCAGCATCGTATCTTCTGTGCTCTTTATTTTTGCCGGACCAGTTTGCGGTTAGGAGAATGTGCCTTTTTTGTACCTTTGCATTTAGGTTTTATAATTTTAATTGATGTATGGACACACACCAACAAACAAAAAAGCATGAATGAAGGAAGATTTGGATCCAAGCAGTGCCACACTTTACATCATCACTACAAGTGTTAAGTGTAAAGAGAAACCAATTTTGAAACTATGAAATTCCTGATTTCATAAATACACAGTTATTTCTACTTTAGTACATAGAAGATAATTCACTGTTATTAAAGCTCTTTTATTAAGACAATTGCATACGTTTGAAAAGCAATGGTAAATTAAGTTGTCTTCCAAAACTGTGTACTTGTCTGGTCAACTGTGCGTGATCAGTTATCTACCTCAGAGTCTGTTTTCTTTTGTGCTGGGACAGGTTGCTGGCCCTCCCTGTTTCCACAGACCAAATCCTCCTAGCTCAGGAGCTAGGGCTAAGCAGTTATTTCTTTCGAGTATTTTTTAGTTCTTAAATTTTATGCTTGTATTTGATTATAGATGTCAGTGACATTTCATAGTTTCAAAAGTCCTTGCTGCTCTGAGAAGTGTAGATTCTAGTGAATATTACATAGTCCTAAGAGAAATGTGTTTTGTTTTTGTTTTTGTTTCCTTTTTTAAAGTTGTGGTATTATTGGTTCTATGCTCCCTGGAATATTACTGCTTTGTGAAAGTCCAGACCGAACGCAGCGCCCTCCTTGTACCTAGTACATTTATAAACCTGGGTCTCTCACTACTTGATATTTTTGCATTAGTTAAGACAGAAATTTGATAGCTCGGTTAGAGGGGAGGGGAAATCTGCTGCTAGATATGTCTGAACTAAGTGCCATACTCGTCTGGGTAAGATTTGGGAAACATAACCTCTGTACATAAAATAAAAAAAAAAATAAAAAAAAATCAGTTAAACATCACATAGTAGACAGCCATTAAATTATAAAAAAAATTAATTTATGAAGAAAGACCTTTTGTACAGATTGAAAAAAAAGATTTTCATAGAGATATCTATATGATCAAGAGAGTTAATTTTTTATTTTTGTTTTACTAGTGCCACAAACTTGCCAGTGGTAACTTATTTGTCCGGTTCAAGATAACTCTGTAGTTTTCCTTCCTAGGACTTGTTGTTAAACGCCAAAAGACATTTTTGAACTGTACATTTGATCAGATTGTTAGCTTTTTCTGTTTTATTTCTTTTGAAAACCTTTGAATAAAAAACATCTGAAATTTTATTTTTCCTGTCAGTTTCTTTTAAGTGGGTTAAATGTATATCAGAATTTCATGCATTTCATTTCTGATCTCTCTCTTCAGCTCAGGCAGTTTGGCTTGAAAGTGAGTTGAAAATTATTTCAGATTCACTGTGTACTCAGAATACATTTCCTTGAGAAGAATTGGAAAAGCCTTTCCCCCTCCTCCTCCTTTGGTTTATTTAAATCTGTGTACGGGAACCAGAGACATCAGCCTTCAGCTGACCCCATTTCTTGCGGGCCAAAGTCCACCTGTGGTCTGGTCCAAAAGGCCAGAGAGCCAGACCCCCGCTCCTCCCTCCCTCCTGCTTCTCCCCTTTAACTGCGGTGCAACTTGTCCTGGACCAGCAAGAGAACAGAATAAAACCCGTCCCAGCCATGTTAAGCAAGCCCATGGGTAAGGATTTCAGGCTGATCTTATCTGTGCCTTGATGACGTGAGCCTCCTTCGGTGACCTCGTTTGGCTGTTTCCCATAGGAGGCTCTGGTTCAGCATTCCCGGGGGAGAGAGAACTCCTCTCTTTGCCACACTGATGTGCTTTACGAGAGGCACTTAGTGCAGGAAATTGAGTCCTTGACCCAAGGCGAATTAAGTGGTACAGTGTAGTCACACACAATTCTTTTTCTCCTACCCAAGGGCTCTGTCACAGTGGTGAGAGGAGTAGGCAAGAACCCATACCCCCCCCCATTTCTGTACACCTCCTGGCCGTGTGGGCCATGGGGCCGTGTGAAGGACAGAAGTGGGGTTTAGAGCAGGTAACTTGGCTAGGGCCAAGAAAGCCCCGGTACTGAATGGCTCACTCAGAAACGGAAACATGGCCCTCTGATGATAACTCATGCTGGAGAGAGAAGGATGTCGGGGCAGGAGGGGAATGTGGCCTCACCGAGCCGCGCACAGGCTGCTGAGGATGGAAGCTGGATAGTCTCCTGTCCCAGCCTCACACTGTCCCACCGCTCCTTCATAGGACCAGTGACCAAAGGCAGGAAAGATGCGCCATCCGGGCTGCCAAGCATCTTCAGTTTTGTTAGTCTTGCTTCTGTTGTTGCATTTTAGGAAGGCTTTCTGTTACTGGAGTCCTGGGACGTCCGGTGGCTGCCTTTACAGGCAACGGATAAACACTTTTTCAAGAGCACCTTTTCCGTGCAGGAGTGACAAGCACACCCAGGTGGTGGTGCTTCGGGGAGAGCTACACCTCACGTGTAAAGGAACTGTGGTGCCTGACGGAAGGAGTGTGCTGCTCAGGTCATCCCCGGGAGCCAGGATTTTATCTTTGTCTGAGATGGGCGGGGAACCCGCCTCTGAGGTGGAATTTTTGTGTTGGGAGGGAGGGCAGTCGCTCCCTGGCGTGCATGTATCTCCCTCTCTCTTGGCTTGGGTGAGGTTGGCCGGCGACACTAGGCAAACCCACTGGAGCCTGAATTCCACTTCTTGAATTTCCCAAACACTGGTGTGAAATTCGCTGGTGGAAAGGCAGTGCCTCCCAGCCTGCGTGGGGCTCAAACAGGGCTCAGATCTGACCGACCTCTTCATTCCACTAGAGCTAAAAAGGAAAAGACCCAGCGACCTTGGGAGTAAAGGTCACAGACCTGTCACCAGCCCCTCTCCTCCTGATACACACAGCTTCAGAAGGATGGCAAGTAGGTGAGGAGGGAGGAAACTCCGAGCTCAGGGTTTAAGAAAAGCTGGGCACTTTCTTTCCTCAAATAGTAGCAACGTGGTGAGACAACCACTCCTCCGTCCTCGCAGAACTCAGCCCCCACCCACCACGTGCCAGAGGGAGGCGGGTGCCCACCGGTCCCAGCAGGCAGTTCTTGGCACAGCCGAGAGCCACTGCCCTGTGCCCGGCGCTCCGTGTGGAACAACCTCGGAGAAGCATCAGAATTTCAACCCTGCCAGGGAGCTCCAGAGCGTCTCACTCTGGATCTTGGTAGGGTCGGAGCGTTTTAGCTTGGGCCACTAGAGGGAGGGTTACGTTGCCCTTCACCTTGAGCGGCAAGCTCTCGGGGCAGAGACCCGGCCTGCACAGGCACAGTGTAGGGCCCTGGAGGGCGACTGCGGCTGCAGGCACATGCTGCTGGAGGTCAAGGGGTCCCGAGCTGGGGGGTGATGGTAAGAACTGATACGTAAGCACAGTTGCCTGATGCTGGCAGCCCCTCCTTCCTCATCAAGGGCATTGCTGCTCAGACTCGGGAAGTAACAGATGGGACTTTTAAGGTTCAAGGAAGCTGGGGGCAGGGGACAAAGCCAGAAGCCTTGCCGGACCTCATGACTTGGAGGAGCAAGAAAACGGTAGCAGGTCTCTGGGCTGCTCAGAATTAAAAACAGAAGGCACTGGAGTCAATACAAACTTTAATGCTGCGAGGCTGAGATTTGATCTAAGTTCTTCCACTGCTCATTTGCACAAGATACGGATCATAAAGGAGACTGCAGCTATCTCCTACCATCTAGTATCCCTGAATCCACTTTCTCTGCTTGAATACCTCCAGTGACGAGGCACTTTCCACCTCACCTGGCATCCCATATCTTTTTGGAACAGCTCTCAAACTGGCTTAAACAAGTCAAATTGCATCTTTGTAATTTCTACCTATCAGCCTCAGTTCTGCCAGCTGAGATGCTGCAGAATAAGTCGGTCATTCCCATTCTTAAAAACACAGAAGTATATTGACAGAACGTAAGAGCGATTACCAGGAATTAAAGAGGACAGGAAGGATGTGATTATAAAGGGACAGCACAAGGGGGTTTTTTGAGGGTGATGAAGCTCTTCTATATCCTGATTGTGGTGGTTACACAAACACATGTGGTAAAATTCATAGACCTGTACACGCCCCAAAAATACCTTTTAATGTTTATCCACTTATAAAATAAAATATTTTTTTAAAAAGTGAGAAGTTGGTCATTCTTCAAATGTGGAAAACTGCTGCCTCCGTGATTCTGTGGGTTGAACACTCCTCGTGGCATTAACATTCAGCTCCGGCTCCACACTCAGCACCATCAGCTCACCCTCTTGGGGCATGACAGGTGCCTCGGGTCAAAGCCTAGAACCCCAGGACTAGCCCTGGCCTCACCGATCTCCCCTGCTCGGCTCTATCCTTCTATTATAGGTGAGATGGTTTCCATTTTGACTTCTCGGACACACCACCGTTCTTAAAGTTGGTAGCAAATTGAAATCCTTATGTTGTTTACTTTTTGGTCATGATAATTATAATAAAGATATGGAATGGAATGGAATATTATTTAGTCATTTTTTAAAAGAAGACATTTTAATGGCATGAAAAACATAAATGGTAAGTGTTAGGTACAGAACTGTAGATAATAGTGTGTTCATAATTAGGAAGCAATATTTAAGTATAAAA